ACAAAGCAACAACAAGCTCCTTGACATTTCTTTTGTATTTTGACCTGAGTTGTATTGCATAACAAAATTCATTTTAAGTAATCAACAAACCGGTAATTAGTAAAAATGCTAAAAATTGTCTCAAACTAAGTAACTCTAAGCAATCTTATCAAAAATGTATATCAGTGTCGCTCTAGTGCAAATTACTTGGGCTGTCCTTTGCAGATATATAATCTTGACATTGACAAGGGTAGATCCAAAGTTAAAAGGGTTGCTTAGTATCTATTACCAGTAAATTTCGTATAAGTGACGTATTTGATATTCAAATTAACTGATGTTTCTATCAAAATATTTTAGCTTTGTTGTTAAATATAATTTATTCAATTGCATAAATTTAAAAACATAATGAGCGCCCAAAGTAATTAATTGTTGAATAATAATTTATACTAAATCTAAACCACGAAATACAAATTTGTTAAAAATTTTATATTCGTAGTATTTTTTCAAAATAGCCAAGTAATTAAAACAACGTTACAAAATATTTTTGTTCGTAGAATTTGTAAACATTTGAAATCTGTTTTGTGCAATTATATAATTAATTAGATTTTCTAACTTTGTATTCAATTTATTTAATCCGCCTAAATTTCCTTTTGGTACGTAGTCCGGTCATTCATCGTGTGGTTCAATTTGCCTTTAATCACGTGCGAGTTAGAAGCGATCTCCCGAATTCTAATATTGAAAGTTGTCGAGAAGCAAAAGCTTTAGCTTAGACTTGAAAGTTTTTAATTAAAGTATTAGAGTGGAAGATAATCTTCTTTTGCTTACGAATGCAGCTCGGTGTTCCTGTAAAAATTCATTTTCAACTACAATTAAATAAATAATGGAGACTGTCAACTACCGTAAGCACTTGGCTGTAGCAATTTAGACGTAAATAAATATAATTTTTGGACACAATGGAAAAGTTGGGCGTTTTCCGAGATAACCATCTCTTGACGTGCTTCATTTAAATATACGGCTCTATTTCAGGTCTCATCCGAAACAATAAAAGGGTCGTTTCCTCAACCTTGTTGGGTTTTCTCTGTAAACAATGCATTTCGCTAAAACACGCTCCATTTAAGTAAAACTGCATTGTTCTTCATGACCGTTCTGATTTGCCTCGTCTGAACGGAAAGCCGCTGAAAAAAGAAAGATTTTTCACGAGTCCCAAGGGTCTCGACTCGATTAATAAACGCATGTGGTTTCCACCTAAGCCTCAGCCCGGCGCAATCAATATACTCATATTCATATTGTCACAACCCATATAACAGGATGTAAATGGTTGCGGATGTAGACCATCATTTCCATTTAAATGGAGTCTCGTAGCTGCGGTTATTGCCGAGCTCTTTCTTCTTCTTTTGCAGCCACATTTCAAGTTCCGACACCAGCACAATTCTACAGTTGACAAATAGTCCGGGGAATCAGATATGCAGATGCCTTCCAATTCTTAAGAAATAAAGCTTTCGTTGTAGCTTGTGGGAATTTTACTTAGGACGTAATTGACTTGCTCTCGACTGGTTTGTCTCTTGGTTTCTTAGTACACCCACTCACAGTGGAATGCACTAGATCGATACGAAAAAAATTACCGGAAAATTGTCATATTTCATTATTTCAAGCTCCAGTATTGCCATAATTTGGTTTTGTAATTTCATCAAGCAGAGTTTTCTTACTGCTAGATAATTCAATAACTTTACTGCATTACTCCAGGTTCCTAATATTGCACGAGTGAAATAAATTAAAGTTGGTACTTTAATAATTACTTTTCGGTTCACATTATAAGACCGAACAAACTAAAAGATATTGATTTCAGCAGTCACAATCTTACATTAATGTAATTTGAAATTTTAAGTAAACTTCAAAATGAATAAATACAGCTAGATCTTTACCAGAAATAGAAAAAGTTAATATTAAAATAATTCACTCTTAAGAATTTTTTATCCATAATACAATAATACAAAATTAATAGACAAACAGGCAATAAATTTGTTACTCCTTCGATGTGTTAAACCACATTGTGTAGATCGTTAAAAAATAAAACAAAAGGATAAAACAAATAGATTTTTATTTTTTTTTTAAACTATACACACAACAAAGTTTTCTTTTTGAATGGCTTCATTTTTTAATTAAAAAAAAAGAAATCTTATACATGCACTAAATTATATAAAAACCTGTTTTATGATAATTATTAGATTAACAATAAACTTCATATCAATTATAAATTCAATACTTTACTTTTTACTACTTACTTTACTACTTTACTCGTTAAAAACACATTTACATTTTTATCAATTGCAAACTTGCTGAAATTCTAAAAAATCAATCTTATTGTTTCATGTTTAATAAATTGGAAAGAATTTATTACAAAGAATTTTGGGCTGCAAAGTCGGGTCTTGGGGTTGGGTGATGGTATCATGAAAAAAGTCGTTGACATTTATTTTGAGCATTTCTGTTCCATTTTAACAGTGATAGATCCAGTCGTGTAGTAAATGTGGTCTTTAAAGCCGGATATTACATGCAGCGAGTTCGATTTCCTCCTCTAGTTTTACTTATTTTAATTGCATCCAACAAGCAGCGAAGCATGCATTTCGGCAGTGAAATATACAGCTGAGAATTGACACAATGTGAGATATTCCGGACGGAATAGTGCTTCGAAATTATTTTCAATCTTTCAGCAATACCGTGATGAAGTTTCTAGGAAGAAAAGAGAATCGGTTTACAAGCATAAATAATCCGGTTATTTGCTCGTGCTCGAATTTAGCGAAGTTAATTGTCAATATCTCGTGCTCGAGGAAAGCTTTTTGTTTGGTTTGGAATCATATTAATGAGTTGAAACGGAAGCAAGTTCTTACTCTAGTTGAACAATAATTGATTAAGTGGAAAGTCGCTTTAGAAATGCCACTGTAGCTTTATACACAATAAAGTTCGAGCCGGTAAGTTTCTATGAGGGGATTTGAGCCTCCCGACTGGAAGAATTGCGGTTTGGAAAATTGAAAATATAACAAACATTGTCTTGAGTTGCACTTTCTCAAACCCGGCTCTCCTCATTAAGCCTCTTGCTGACTAACTACAAAGCAGGTGTCGTCTTTCTCGTCATTTACATCATCTAACAAACTCGGAATTGTTCTTAACTAAGGTTTTTAAGACTCCTCTTGTTTCGATTTAATTCCTACACAGAATTTAAAGTACCAATGCCAACACACAATTCCTATTATGTACAACTTTAGTGTAAACTTTGTCCATCATTTCTAGTTAATTGTGTAATACTGTTATAGAATTATGATATTCACATCACAACTATATTAGTGTTTTCCTATTTGAGTATTTGTAACTAATATTACAAACTAATTAATACACAAACTATAATATGTGCAAAGATAAAAGACAAACACCGACCTTCAATGGTATAATGTTGTCGTTTTATTTATTTTCTAAAATACCAATTACCAAACTACTTAACAAATAATAGAACTCCATAGAACTGCATACAATAAATCTTCTACAAGCTTTTACAATGGTTAGTTAATAAAACGCCTAGGTACATTTTATTCTTATATCTATAATAAATATTCAAATATCGATTTAGTTAGGTATCTAATAACTTTTCAATTTATAGTGCACCTAATTCTGAATATAAATTACACATGGTGATATTAAAAATAGTTACCAAAATATAGACTAATTTTTACATTTCTTTAAAATGTTTACCCGCTGAATAATTCGCATCACATTTATCCATTCACATTTAAGTTAAAAGGGTTTCCATAAAGTATTCCATATTATATGGCATCAGTGTATACTGAGTGAATAAAAAGTATGGACTCAAGCGTTTCTGGAAAAACTAATTACTTTATGAAAAAGATAATTAATTATTGCTAGTGTAAAGTAGGTACTTAATAAAAATGGAATCGTTTTTAAAAAATTAAATTTTTTGAAATTCTTCTTTTAAATAAAAACAACCACGTGGAAAATCTTCGTGATGAGCCTGGAACGCAACTATAACAATTTATTTAAAAAAATAACACAGATTAAACAACAAGTTTATTTAATTAAAGTTCTTTTTTAGATTATAATCTTAAATTAAAAAAAGTTGTAAAATAGGTTACCATTACAAAAATATTTTCCTTTGCAAAACTCGAAAACTAAACGAAATTTCGAAAAATCTTATTTTTGAAAAACGATCACATTTTTATTCGAAAAGTAATTTATGTTACATAAATTTAGAAAGCTTCAAAAATATTTTATTTGTCAAATTAAAAGTATCATATCTCATATAAAAAAATCTATTAACGCGTGTGCTTTAATAAAATAAAATTAAGAGAAAAAATAAAGTCTGAAAAACATTTAACGGCATTATAGAAATTCATACATCTAATCATTTTTTTGTTCAAACTCAACAAACAATTAGTAACATTTCTACCCTTTTCACCATTTTAATAATTATGGTTACCAAGACGTTTTTAAGACATATCGTCTCTACTGGAAAAACCTTTATTTGCATAAAAATATCACACGAATTTTGAATGATTTTAAAGCAAAAAAAAAGTATTAAAAAAATCTTTATTAATACCTAATAATAATAGTAGTTTTTTAGTCATTATAATATGTACAAAATAGTAGTAAAAAATTGAATTACTTAAAACTGTATTGATCCTTTAAGTAACTTTAGTAACTTTAAGTAAATTAGGAGTAATTAAGAACGTAATGTGTATAATTTGTATACCTAAGTTTACTATTTATTAATTTTTGAATTATAAATGGTATGCAAACAATTTAACACATCAAGCGCCATCTTTGTATGTCTACTTGTAATAAAAATAAAATTAAAAATAAATTCAGTAGTAAAAAAGCATTTATATACAAAACCACACCGTATTATAATTTACAATATGAGAAAAAAGAAAATCAAAAACCGACGTAATGTCGAAAAACTTAAATTAATTGAACAGCCAAACATTTTTTTAAATATGCCGGCAAAAGCAATGTGACAGACAGCGGCATCTGCTACGAACTTCCGCCTTCCATCTTTCTTTTCTTGTCAAGTTCTCGAAGAATAGACGTGTTGTTCGTTGATTTAAAATCCACAAAATGGGTTTCCAAAATATCTGGTATTCTCACCCACGCAAATATGGACAAGGCTCTAGGTCTTGGTAAGTACAAAATAGAACAATTCGCAACTTTTAAGACAAATTTTTTATAACATAACCTCAAAAACGCATGGTGTTGATGCCACTGAGCTATGTTTTCGTCGTTTTTCTCACGTTTTAATCTAATTCACTTTGAGTTTTACAAGGCAACAATAAAACGTTTCAATTATTTTTAGCCGAGCTTGCTCAAACAGGCACGGATTGATCCGCAAATATGGGTTAAATATCTGTCGGCAATGCTTCAGAGAATACGCTGCTGATATTGGCTTCAAGAAGGTAATAATGTCAATAATACGAAAAAAGTTTAACTAAAAATTTATATTTTTTCAGCTGGATTAAAATCTTGGAGTGTATTTTTTGTAACACTTGACTATTTAATGTAATTTTTAATTTCACTGAATTAAAACAACAGTTTAGTAAAAAGTAGTTTTATTTAAATAACACATTTACAAAAAATGTATAAGTATAAAGAAGTCAGTCAAGCTTATGGGGCTATCCTGTTGATGATTTCTCTGGCAGTTTCTGTTGGCACAATTCTCTATCAAAAAGTTGTTAATAAAACGTGAAGAATTGGAAAAAAGATGTACCTGCGCAACGGTTGTAAGCAAAGTCAAAAGCGATCGTTTTGGCGGCCTACAATATCTTTTTCCTCTTTCTTGGCAACACAAATTTGGAAAACAGTCTAGAGGATAACGACATTCTTTGGGAAAAACGTCTAAGATTGGGGGTGGTGGAGGTGTGCATTGCATGTAATTCATCATTAATCTAAAAGCTGAAAAAAATGTGTATTCACAATTTCGTTTTTTATCCAAATTTTACGTTCAACGAGTTGCCTAACACCAGGAATATTGTCCAGTTTTGCCTCCGGCGTCCTGCAATATCCTACCATATCACCATTGAGCATCTTCTCAGGACAACAAATCCTGGGCGAACAGTCACTGTCTTCTATGCATCGTTTTATTTCAAAAATTTCTGGAATTAGCTCAGTAGGGCATGCTCTTTCCACCAACCCAAACAACGTTGCTGAAAATTGTAAAATAAAGATTTATGCAAATGAATAAGAAGAATTAGCTTTCAGCAAGTCACGACTTTCACTGTCAGATAAAAGAGATTACCGCGGAAGTTTTATGTAAGTGGTAATGAAAAGTTGCTTCAGACTCATCTTGAATGATTTTACGAGTGAAGAAAGTTTGGAAATTCCGTGATTAACTGATTACATAAATCAAGTTTCAATAGTGTATAATGTCATTATCGGAAATCTGCAAATTCGGTTTTCCCTTTTATTTAAACCAAAGCTAGTTAGATAATAACAGTTGGGTAATTCACTATTAACACAATCTCAGAAAAGAATAATAAAGTAATAAATTATACTTACGACTGTGAACAGGTTCTGGCGGAGGTGCAGGGACCCCTTTCAGGCATCTGTTGTTGCAACAACGCATGTTCTTGCCTAACTGAGTGCATTCTTTGGTTGTTTTGCAAGGAAGCGAAAAAAAGGGCCTTGAGTCGTTTTTCCCCGGACAAATGAATTTGGCCGACTTCTTCGGTTTTGCGGATGGGCGTCGAATGGATATGGGTGTGCCCATGGTGATGTTTATGGATATTTCAGGTTCTTTGGCTTTATGACTATCAGATATGGCATTTCGCACTAAAATTAAATTATCTATTTTTTAACTGTACGATTTTGTGCATTTTTTTTTAATTCTTGTGGCTGAATGCCGTAATTTCTCTGAAAATTGCGCGCTAACCGGATGGTTTTATTATGACACCTACGTTGTTACGATCAATGCATAATCAACCTTGTACTAGATTAATGTAACAGTTCTCAACTCCTGCATTCTTAAGAGATAAGTAATTTGATTCAATTTCGAAAAAAATATGTTTCCCCTTTTTTCAAGTGATTGTTCTGTATTTACAAAATTTGCTCAATGAACCAGTTTAAAATTTTCTGAAGATGCAAAATATTTTTTTATTTTTGCATAAATAATGACTATAGTTGTTTACATCTGATGGTTAAAAAACTCCCTTTTTGCAAAGTATGTTGTACTTGATCTTAAATGGTTTGAGAGAATGTAAATCCTTGATGGCTGTAAGAAATTCTCGCAAAACCACGTACTTATTGCAATGCATAGACCATCAATAATAAATACTAGGTACAGCAGGTATACACTACCGTTAACGGAAGAATGGACAGTGGGTAAAATTTGATAAAAGTTGTAATAATGGGGACAAAAAAACAGTGCTTTTACCAAATTCTCTAATAAAAAACAGCAAACTTTTATTTAGAACAGAATGTAGTATAAACAAAAATTAAACTAGACTTTGTTCTCATCGAAAAAACGTTTTTTATTTATTTACCTAGTGTCCATTCTTCCGTAAGCGGTAGGTATATACCTAGCAAAACAAAAAATGTTTCCTAATGGTCAATTCATACAAACATAGCTGTACTTAAAGTGCGTAGTAGATTTTTTTTATTTATAATTACTGTCAATACAGTTTAAAAGTTCTGTAACTCGTAAGTACACAGGTTACCTAACATTTAAATCGATGAAAAAACCGACCTAATAATAATTCGGCTATAATTAGAGTAGTTATTTTTGTTATTTTAAATTTTTAAGTGTATAATATAAGTAATTTCTAATTTTAATTTCTATTTTTTACACCATTTATTCATGTAAGTAAAATTGTTTGTCAACCAGAAGGAGAAAAGTCAATATTTTACGGGCAATAATGTATTCATATAATAATTAGTGCTAATGTGTAAGTTAATACGTTGACTATACATTTTACTTTTTGCGACATTTCCACTAAATGTTTTTCTTATTTTCGTACTCTATTACATCAGATCACACATTCTTTACATATAACTTTCTTTGTCATTGTGCTTTATTGCGTAAAATATACCATTTTACTAAACTGGTGCATATAGGTATATTTAATTTCATTATATGTAGAGTTAATTACTTCATCTTAAACAAATCTTTTCGTGTGAACTTTAAATTCATTTTTTTATACCTATTGCAACAACACAACTTAAAACCTACTTGGATTTTCACTTTAGTAAAATATTGAGCAATATCACATTTTGATATTTCTAGTGTTGAAAGGTCACAAAACATTTTAGATTAGAATGACTTAGAACAACCTGACCCTGGTTCCAATGCATCATTTTTGTACATCCAATTTAGAAAGAAATATTACGAATTACGGTATAGGTATCAATAATTACCAAATATGTAGGTTTTACTATCACTTTTCCTTAAATATTTTCAAATTACTATGTGTACTCAGTACACCTTTCAATTAAAACAATAATAATATATCTAACAAGTATATATTAAGTAAATACAATTTTTTTATCCAATATGTATATTTATTTTTAAAAATTAAGAATTTAATCCTGTTTTTGTTTCAAGCAAAAAAATGTAGATACTGACCAGTGGTTGTCGATGTTGTATTTTGTTGACACAAAACATTATAACAATTATAAAATAAAAGAAACAATGTAAAAAAACAGAAGACTAAAAATTTCATTTTATCACTATTGCACTTTTACCTATCATCTACTACATCTTTTTCAACCAAACTTGTGTCTGGATGGATGTAAATTAAACAGGTATATGAGTGGTTTCAGTATGTAATACTTTTGCTTTCACGCAGTGACCGAGAAAAGAAAGAGGTATTTTGTGTTCGTACCCATTTATTTATATGGAAATATTACGAGTATATCACTCGACCATTAAAATTGGTTATTAGGTAAAGCGTAGCAATGTTAAATGAAGCCAACATCAGTGATATGTTTCAATTATATTTACTCACATATCAAAAAAACAAAAAAAAACAGTTTCCGCTCATTATTAATCAACTGTGTTAATTTGAAACCATTTGATTTAGGTACTTGTTTATTAATTAGCTTCGTTTATAGAATAACTAGACAATAAAGTAGTACTATATTAAAATACGAGCTACAGAAGTGGATGCCGTAAAAAACAAACGATTGCTTGAATGGCCTTCTATGAAAAGTCCTTTATACAATTTTTTTTTCAATTTAGCGTTGGAAAATTCAACGCAAACTGGCATTTGTCTCATTGTGTGTAATCCGGGGATGAACTCTCAAGATTTTTTTCATGTACGCCACCGGAAATTTGGGAAATTGATAAGGTTATTGAAAGCAATTTACTTCAAACGACATTGTCACCGACATTAAAAACATAAAATACACTAGGCTGTTAACGCACCCAAACGAGTTCGTTAAACAGCGTTGTTAAAGACGCAAAACAGTAAACATATTTTACAGTTTCATATTTTCTTAGAATAATTCTTAATAACTTTTAAAAGAGCAAAACATGCAATACCTATGTATTATATTGAGATTGATTTTTTACAAATTCTATAATCTCTAACTGAATATGTACTTTGTTACATAATTTATAACCAGTTACTTTGGTGTTTAGAAGATTAATTTTTATTATTTACATAATTACAGTCGTTCCCTATTTTCTAAATAGAAAAATTATATGTTATCTGTTCATTTATTTTAGATTAACAATATTAGTTACCACTAGAAACAATCATGTATACAATTATTTTACATTCACTGATATAAAAATGTAATTAAAATGATTAAATAACACTATCACAATAACAAATGTAAACACTAAATTAACGTTCACGTCATCCACGTGCTTGCATCTGGGCGTTCAAGATCATCAATTTTTCCCCTAATTTCGCATTATGTTCTTTCAGAAATCTTATCAAATCAGCCTGCTTTTGTAAAAAGTCATATAATTTCTCTCCCCTTAAAGGACTTCCTATTTCTGTAGCTTCGGGACTGGTACAAGCATTCCACTCTTCCCTTTGCACATCAGGAGGCGCTTTTTGTTTATTAAATCGCTGTACTTTGACTAAAATCAAGTCCATTAATGATTGCAAATGGTCATAATGACAACTTACAGATGTAATTAATGTTTATGCCCGCAATTAAACAAAATTCAAAAGTTATCAAGGCACACAGATAACCTATAGGAGACATTGTCCCCCCATTGATACATTTTTCAGCGAAATTGTCAGGGTAGAACTGTTGAGCTATAGCTTGGATTATCATAATGACAACATTCCACAGACTAACAACATACAGTGGAAGACGATGATGGACATGAGTTTTATTGTAGAAGTCCAAGTAACCCAGAATTCTGAGATTATAATGTTTACGTCTTGCTATTTGGTCTACAATCTGGAAGCAGCGTTTAAATTGTGACTAAAGAGAAAAGTTGAAACGAACCAATGTTAGAAACCACAACCCTACGTGAATATAAATAATAATAAAATATTCTCGACACTTGTGTTTCTCATCTGGATGTTGTGCAGCAAACACTATTGCCACAACCTCTAAAGCTAACGCGAAGAGCAAATGCAGGCTAAAAATTGGCACTGTATTTAAAGGACGAAAAGTACCATAAGACTCCAAAATAGGCTGCAAATGCTCCGTGTCACCCATATTTCCAGATTCACTGAAAAACGTGGCACCCTGCAAGCATCGATTGTTTATTTTTAAAAGTGACTCACATGTCACAACTTTGAGGTTATGTTTGAAATTTACATTTACTTACGCCTGAATTGGTGTTGAAACTTCTTGAGAGACTAACCATTTTTCAATTTATTGTCCTACTTTAGTTTCAAATATGAACATTAACGTTTACGGAAAATTCGAAGATTCATTCGAAAAAACATGACACTTGCGTGCGCAAATATTTGTTTATCGCAAGTGACTAATGAAATAATATAGAAATAAATTTTAATGAGCGCAGATCATTAAGCGCTAAAAACTTGGTCATTATTTACTCACATTTTTGCAAATCTGAAATTTAGGTTTGGCACAATTTATTAAGAAAAAAAAAGTATATTCGTGATTGACTAAAACAGGGGTGGTTACGCAGTCTGCTTTTTTCAAGTTGGACAATTTGCGCAATGATTAGACTTTTCCATTATAATATCGTAAAAATAGTGTTTCCCAACTTATTCTAAAATTAAACAGTTATTAATTAATCACTGAAAACACAAAAAAATAAAGAACTTGTAAGCACTTGAAATGCTTTCAAAAATAAATTTCCGATCAACGTGTCTTATGACTTTGAAATTAAGTTGGTAACATATAAACTACTAAATCCAAACGTCACATTTTTATTGTCATATCTTTCGGTGTTACCAATTTAATTTCAAAGTCACAGGTCACTTTGATCAGAACTTTATTTGAAATCATGTATAATAATTACTCACTCGGTGATTAAAAAAAAAGCTTGAAATAACTTTTTATCTCGCATTCAGGATGTATTTAAAATAAATTAATGCATTAAGGATAAATTGTAAATTATTCTGTTTGGATTAAAACTCCTCTGCGTTCAGGGTGTCTCAGACTTTATACTATCAGTCAACATTTAAAAGTGTAGAGCTTATTGTTTTGCTCTTTCTAATTTTCCTTTTTTTTTCACATTATTTCAAAGTTCATTTTTTTAACAAAGTTTAGGGCTAGATTAAAACGAATTTGCGGGGTATCCATTATAGAAGCCCAACCAAAATTAAAAATTTTCACTAAAGTTGTAAATCATACAATTTTGCTGCTTACCACAGATTTTTACCCGCTATAATTACCTTTAAACGAATGAATTCCTAATTTGCATTAGGTATACCGGGTAAATAAAAAGTATGGAACGAAGTGTTTTTTGCATAAACTAATTACTTTACGAACAAAAATAATAAGTGCAGTGTAAAGTACCTACTATAAAAATGAATTGTTTTTCAAGAATAAAATTTTTCTAAATTCCTTTTAGTTTTCTAGTTTAGCAAAAAAAGATTTTTAATTTTTAAATGGCAACCTACTGTGACATTTTTTTAATTAATGACTATGAGCTATGTTTTAATATCATTCTTATTTATTAGGAAATGTAAGACAGTAAAATTACCGAGCAGTTCAGAAAAATAATGCCTATCGATTTGCCAAATTCTTTTTTCATTGACGACAAGCATTTATGCTTGTATAAATATTTTTACAAACATATGTTCATTCAAGTAGGCGTAATTTGATAATATTTTTTAATTTTGTTTCAGCCTTTTTGTAGATATAGTTTCTAATATTGAGTCTTTAAATAACGTTGATATCATTTCAAATACCATTTTTATACACGCAAAACTTAACATTTCAAACGCCACAAGAGAAAATCCCTTTAACCCAGCCTTATCCAATCAAAATTAAAGTTTTCAAAGGTCTTAATTAAGTCACTGGTTTGATATGATGCAAAAACTATCAGCTTTCCCAGTGCTTTGGTTAAAACGTAGGTATAGACCTCATTCATATAATTAAACTCCCAAAAGGGCCGGACTCTCGTTATGTCATTTGCCTACATTTATCATTTTTTATATTCAATTTAAACAAATTTAACCAATAAAAATAATATAATGATGAGACACATCGATTAAACGGTTAATGTGATACCTGATTAATAATATCTCGCATCCATGTTGGCCTTGTTATGTTATTTACCGAGAAAAATACATTTATTTCCTTATAAATATAGAACCATTTGAAGGCGAGAAATGTGCTATTTTTCATTTCTACGAGAAGTTCATTAACTGTTTCAACTTTGTGAGCTTAAATCAAACTAAAATAGAGCTTTCTGTGTTATGTTAGGGTGATAGAAAAAATTAAACCTCTCGAATTTTTGCAACATCTCCGCGAAAATATTTATAGAGTGCGAAGAAACTGAGTATAAACACTCATACATAAAATAAACAGCCTTTAATTTTAATATGTAGCGCAATTTGGAGGCAGATTCCTCCAACCAACTGTATTATTAAATTCGTAACAAAGCAACAAGAATTGCGTTAGATTTGACTTAATTAATTATACTTAAAATTGATCAATTATGAGTGTTGTCATAATTTTCATTTATCTGAAAATGATATATTCGAAAAAGATAGCTTGCGCATGTGTAATTTACATTAAAAACATGACGCTCTCCTCCAATATTTGTTTGTGTAACATTCACGGTCGTCGCGGCGCTTTAGATAACATAATAATCAGTGTGCATCCGCGTAAGAACTTCAGGAAACTGGTAATTTTTCCAATCGATGGTTTACCGTTCCTGCATGTCAAAATTTTTCGAATGAGTTTCTGAGGTAAGAATTTGAAATTTTTTCAAATTTAAAACAAAAGTGACAATTTTAGCGTAATTTTGAACGAGACGGAATGAACCGGTAGACGGAAATGTCATCAGCAGAAGACATAAATGTCGACGACTCGCCGGAATCGCCTGTAGCTTCAAAGGACAATGCACTTTTCGAGCCAAAATCTCAACCGAAAATTATTCGGGTACTCACGGTATTAGCGTACATACTCAGCGTGTCCATGGCAGCTATCATCTTATCAATTTATTATATCTTTATGTGGAACGAACAAAAAACTTATGCTCTGCATAATGAATTCGTTCCTTCCGGCGTCGCATCTTCATTTATGGAGGAAGCTAACAATACGACTCCCGGATCCACCTACACTGAACTTCCACAAATAGGTAGATAAGGATCTTTTCATACAAAAAATCTCACTGATTGAAAACGAGATGAAATTTTTATTAGAAATAGAATTTTCAAAATTGCAGGTGTTTTGGGTTCGAATTCCGAAAAACTCATCATCGTGATTGATGGACACTAATTGAGTGATTTTCTAATTTATTCAATTACTTTCCGGCAATTTAATACATTTAAGTGCGCTAAATGGAATTATTGGCTTTATTGATTACTCAGTGCTTTATCAATAAAAATAGCAAACCGCTCGTTTGCGAAGCCATACATGTATTCACTTTAAGAAGAGTTTTATGTAAGAAGATTATGCGTGTTTTCAAGTGGATTAGCTTACACAAAATCGATCTTTATTAATTTAAAAGAAAATTGATTTTTTTTAACAATTAGTGTTTGAATGCAAATTTTATTAGTACAAGAGAATGGCGACAAAAATATTACCAGTCTTCGATCTAATTAGATAACTGTTCTTTACAAAAACGTTATCAGTGCAGAGATTGCAATTGATTAAGTTACTAATTGGATATAATATTTTGTAGTAGCATTAATACAGTTACACAAATTAAACCCATAAAGTTGGCAATAAAAGGTCAAACAAAATACACTAATTTTTTAACAAAACAATTACCCCTCTTTATGCTTAACCTTGCTTATTATACTTGACTCAATAATGTTAATTCCTATTTAAATATGAAACAGCCATAAAAAGCATCCAATCTGGTTTCGTTTTTAAATTAAGAAAAAATTCACAAACATAAAAGTCTGCTTTATATCAAAGCAGTAAAACGGACGTTTAAATTGCTTCTTAAGGTTTACATAATGCTGCAAGAAAGTGATTGTTCTATTGTAGCTAGTAGCTCTCTTTCCTATTAGACGATAGCCATACGAATTCTATAAATTGGTCTTTATTATATTGCGTAATATTCATCAGATGGCAAAGATTATTTTATTACATCGTAAGTAAAAGTAGTAACTTTCCAACGATATAATAACTTCGTTAAAATGTAATCACAGATCACCATCAGGTTAACGATTCTTCTATATGTAACAATTGTCACAAAAATATGTCAATCAAAATGTATTTACGGAAGATAATAGTCACATCTGAAGTGACAAAATATCGATACAAGCATAAAACACACGTAACGACAATTCTTATTTATAAAACTGAAGCTTTGTTCCTTTCAAATATCAAGCTTTCAAGAATAAATCAAATTGAATCTATTGTTTGATGAAAATCAGATCCTCTAAACGATATTATAAAATATTATGTAATTCAAAATCGACGTTTACAATATTTTTTATCATATCATGTAATTTAAACAATGTTTTTAAATTTTGCTATATTTCTATAAACGACTTCTTTTTGTTTGCGCTTCATTAATTTGCTTCACGTATTCTAAATGCATAATGTACAATACCTAATTTATAAGATATTTACTTGTAATATAGCAGTCTTTTCTTGCATTTTAAAAATATTTATTAATTGGCTGCAATAAACATTTGCAAATTCCTAAAATTTATAAGCATTTAAATAGGTTAATTTGGATTAGTTATCGTGATAACATCAGTGATTTAAAACTTTTTTTTCATAAATTTTATATCAATATTTGTAAGAAAAAACTGATTTCCTTGTTCCTAGCAAGAATTATTTCATCTGTGTAAATGTAGGGGAGCGACGGGTAATTGCGCTCAGCGGTCAATGGCGCTCATGTTATTTTTGACTTATTTGAGTATTATTCGAATTTGTTCATGATCCGCCATCTAATTTTATAATAAGAGAAGTATCTCGTGCATAAGCCATGTTATTCAGCAGTGAAATATTCGAATAGTGTTGTTCGATGTGTTTTGCGTACTGCTGTTATTACTTCACTTAATATTTCTACATAGATTTATAAAGCCATTTTACATTTATTCTTAATTAAAAAAATGGAAATGGAAATACTGCATCTACACTTAACGTTATTAACCATTTTTGATAAATATCCGTCTTTGAAGTTGTCAGTGTTTTTAAAAGTTCAACACAATCTGGGCAATTGTGCTCAGCCTGAAATATGCCTTTTTGCAAAGAATTTGGTAATAGGTATTCTTGTGGAAAGTGCATTTTAAGGTAATAGTTAACTTGTTTCAATTTAACGACATGGTACTTACTTGAGCGGCATTACCCTACTCAGTTGGGCAATGACGCTCTTTTGCGCGTTATTGTAAAATCTTTTTTTTTTACATTTTTGACTTTTATTTTGAGAATTTTTTACATAGAGTTGGTTTCTCTAGATATCAGGCAACCGATTGGCGAAAACAAAACCTTAGAATATAATTATGTCTCTCAAAATATCAATTTAAATTTAGGTGAGCGCCAATACCCATCGCTCCCCTAAATTTAATTCCTAGTTTCTTACATATTTTTAGTTTAACTTAATTTTAAATTTCAAGAAAATATTGACCCAACAACTGTGAAAAGCATTTAAAATTAAAAATTACTTCCCTGTTATAAAATACCCAACTTTTAACTTTTAGCTAAGCATAAAAATAAATAAACAGAAATAAATAGTGTCAAAGTGTAAAATTTAAACTCTCAACTTCGAAATTTTAATAGATAGATTTTTTTAAATATTTTTCTTGTTGTCTAGGGCATCGCCCGATGATACAGTGTCACAGAGGTGCGCGACTTTCCTGTATTTTTATTCGTTAAAATTTCTGCAGCTATTAAAACCACTCTATATACAGGGTGTTCCGTTTTTATTGTTACAAATTTAAACAGGTGATATTCAATTCTAAGACAAAAGTTTCCTCTAAACATGTATCGAAAAATGCTTGGTAGGGGAGCTACACCCCCTGAAAGGGGGCTAATAGGTTTTTACTAATATTTCAGGAACCATTTAAGATAAAATTACAAATTTTGATACAGATGATAACCTTTATACACTTAAACGAATTCAAACATCAAATGTTGAAATTTTTAACCAGGGGCGTCCGAAATTGGGGGGGTTTAGGGTAAAAAAAATACCCTATCTATTTTGGCTTTAGTTTCTTTAGTTATGCATTGACCAAAATGATGGTCACTTTGAACAACTCCTTTAGGTTTAGGCAAATTCATTTCATTAATGTTATTATCGTTACTGTAATGTAATGTTAATTTGTTGAGGTTGATTAAACAATATGAATTTCTTTCTTTTATTATTCTGTAAATTCTGATTGATTTGAATGTTGTATTGGCGTGTAACATAAATTTTAAATTCATTTTATTCAAAAACATTAAGTCGTATCGACACAAGAGAGAGTTTTCTGTGATAAACTATCGAACTTAAGATTTTGTTGCTGAAAGTACCGAGAAACTAAAGCTAAAATAAATAGGGTATTTTTTTTACCTTACACTTCCTTAGTTTCGTACGCCCCTGATTAAAAATTTCGACATTTGATGTTTGAATTCGTTTAGGTGTATAAAGGTATAATCATCTGTACCAAATTTTGTAATTTTGTCTTAAATGGTTTCTGAAATATTAGCAAAAACATATTACCCCCCTTCCAGGTGGTGTAGCTCCCTTACCAAGCATTTTTCGATACATGTTTATAGGAAACTTTTGTCTGAGAATTGAATATCCTATCACCTGTTTAAATTTGTAACAATAAAAACGGAACACCCTGTATCTATTACAACAAAAATAAACTGGTTTTTAATTAAAATTTTTAATACGCATTTCTAAACCAATAATCTTAACAGTGATTTAAAAATTTGACTACTGCCAATAGACTGATAATTTTGTATTTTAAAAATATCAATATTAATTGGAATACAGAAACGGAAACGTAATTTGCTTGTTTAAATATTTTCAGAATTTTTTTGGATTAATCTAGAAGACCTTCGACATTTCAAAAGTGTATAGTTGCACAACAGAAAAGAGAAACGGAAATGACCTCAACGACAACAGAAACGGACACGGGAGAGAGAAACTGTAGTCATTTTCACCCATTTAATTTTTATTGGTGTTTAAGTCGTATATGGAACTTATATGTTTACCCTGTAGGTGTAAGAATGACAGGGTATCATCAATGTATCTAAAACGTTAAAGTAAAACTTTCGTTAAGTACTATAATGTAAAATTTTTTTTTTTTTTGAACCATGAAAAATATGAGTACTATTTTAAGCCGAGTTGTATAAAAGTAAAAATATCTCTGAACCATAACTTCCTCGACGGTTGTTACATTACTACTGATTTGAGCTTGAGCGCATTCCAATCAGATAAAATATTTTTCTTGAAATATCTTTATTTTTTCTATCAAAATATGGAAACCCTCTTTGAATTGTGGAGGTTGCGCATCGGCATCCCTGTCCTGCTTTACTCCAAACAGCTGTAATTTATTGATTGACCCGGTGTGGAAGATGCGAAAATCAAAACAATAGTGTCCTGATTTGAAAAGCAAGTAGCAACCGACTGTTTTGAACGCTGTAAAATGATCGATTGTTCTAAAAAATCCCCCCAAGCAGACAAACGTAAACGAATAGAAATAACTCATAATAACCAGACCGCATTTAGTGTACATTATTATTAAAAAGCAGTAATTCAGCCCAATCCATCAGCGTGGCGTGTAAATTCCTCACCAAAGCTCTTCTTATTTTCAAATCTAAAATGTCGTACAAAATCTCCATGAAAAACGGCATCAACTGCACGGAAGCACAGTGGATTAAAACCAACAATTTAGTGGACACTAGTGTTAAACTTGCGGGAGAGGAAGCCAAAGACCGACTTTACGAACCCAAACACAAAAAGAAGGTTGTGAGAGTTTTAACAGTCATAGCTTATGTATTTTTCGTTTCGTTGGCGGCAATCATGCTCTCGTTGTATTACGTTTTCTTGTGGAACGGAGGACAAAAGACTTTACCCAAATATCCGATGCAACGCGAAACGCAAATGAAATGCGACATTGTTGCAGGTGAGAGTAGAAAAATAAGAAATTTGTACCACATTTTTGTTACAGAAATGCAACAACAAATCACCAATGTTGCAACAAACGAAGTGTTTTCGACGGCCTCGACCACAGACGAAAACACAACGTCACCGGATTTTGGACTCAGTTTCGACAGTGATGAATTTGAGAAGACAAGCACATTTATGAAAAAAATTATGTACAAATACCCCTACGATGAAAACGACTAGGACAAACAAATACTTCCTGTTTGCTCCCATGACATGTTTACATTTTGTGTATTACTTCCTAATAGGGTTTATTCTGTATTTTTAGCTAACATTTTGATATAATGATTTATTTTTATAGACAATATTACGGCTTTTATCCAAATTATAGTAGATTCTACAAAAGTAGGTTTGCGACTTGACCATTTACGCCGGGTTCAAAATACCAACCTTTCAGTAGATAAATTAATTTAATCAAATCGCAAGCAAAGTTTCAAAACAACACAGGATTTTGTTAATTTTTTTATTAACATAAAAAACAATCACATTTAGAATCTTAATTTCTGTCTTTTAATCAGCACCGGTGACCATCATGTGAACATTCCTCTCCGACTGTAGCATTTTTGTAGCCCTTTCTGTCCCAACAATGGCCGCTAACCGATGAACATCATATTTTGAATAAACGACATTTACTGTCATATTCGATAAACTACCGATTTTTTTATTCATGTTGGCTTCCTAAAGTAGCAATAAATGAAACGGGTAAAGAAATATAATCACCAATTACCTGCATAAGATTACACATTTCGTAATAAAAATGAGGAAAAGTTGGTGGTTGATAAAAAACTAAATGGCGAATTCCTTTAACTCTGACGCGATTGAAAAAATGAAATCTCTCGGTATACAATAAAAAGTGGGCGTCTCCGTGGTAAAACATATCTCGAGCTCGTGCCACTTTACCGTCCTATAAGAAAAATTGAAAGAAAAAAATTTTTTAGACGATTTTAATTACCTTCGAATATTCACAAATTTGTACAAAACTAAGCTCTTCTTTTTTAAAATAATTCCGCAATCGCACATAGTCGAAATAGCTTGGAACATAGATCATTGTTTGTTTCATCAAACTGTCCCTCTGTAGTGGCAAAAGTTTGTTAATAAAAAACTCAAATCTGGATTCAATTGCAGTTTGTGCATTTGAGGCCTCAAATTTATGAAATACATGCGGTATTTGCACAATGACTTGTCCAATAGAGCCCAACTCGACCGGATTTGAGATTTTCACTTTTCCAGCGAAATTATTACACTTCTTATTAAAAATTGAATTAATTTCGGGTAAAACTATGGACGAAAATATTAACGTTTGTCTGTAATATTGGGCCCATCCATTCAAACTCCAAGTACGAACTCGGGAAAAGTCGGTACCGTGTGAGTCTTTTGGTTGCAAGTGGAGGTGATTTATGACGTGGATAAAGTGGTCCCAGTTTTGCATAAAAAATAATTCCGTTTGGTCCAAAACTAAAAGTTCTATAGAAGCGAGAAAATCGTAATCGCGTTGGGGCTCGCCTTCAGCGCCAATTATTGTCCGCAGCCCCAGAGGCGAGGCAATGATAATATCAGAAGAGTAAAAATCGGCAAAAAGCTAAAATAATTTACGTTAATTTAATCCCAAAAAATTGCGTATCAACCTTTAAGCTCTTTTTTGTGACAGTTATGCCAATCTTAAAATCGTCGCTTGTGTTTCCAGTAAAAGTTAATTCGTAATCCTCGGGTTTGGGGTTCTTTTTGGGCATTGGAATTTCGTTGCCTGTGTACTCTTCTAAAAATCTTTTTTTATTCATTATGTGACCCTTATCCTGAGGCAATAGTATGTTTATTATCATTTGTATTATTTTAAATGCCGAGTCTTTGAATGGAACAACCATAAGAATCTATAAATTTTCGGGATAAAAATAAGGTATAAAAAGTTGGGACTTACCTTCGGTCGAACTAATCCCTGATCTCTAAAATCCTCAGGAACGTCATCCTTTTTTGATAATCGCACATTATGGTGAACAACTTTTAACCTCGTTTTTAGAATATGGTTTACAGCATGAAGACAATAAACAAATCTGATTTCCTCAGCATTGTTAAAACTTCTTTGGGTGAAATACAAATCTTGATAATTGTTAATTATTGAAAACAATTCAGACTGAAAATCTGTAAATACTGTATCATCCTCTTTTAGTGCATTATTTGCTTTAGATAAATTATTTATAATTTGTGATTTAATAAATAAATTTTCGGGGTTTTTAAGATCTGAAGTGTTAATTTTATTGGGCACTGATCCCGGTGGTGCAAATTTCTTCTTTTCTTCTATTGTAAAAGAATTTTTTTCTTCTTTTACTTTTTCATACTGTGGTATCTGAATTAATAGGCGTCCTAAATTCGGCCAATTTAAAACAAAATCTTTGACCAAAACCGGTGTACTTTGTAATGACTTTAAAACACTCTCATCGAATTCGTAACAAACGTGTTTTACAAATGGATCATTCAAGTTATCACTATCCTCATTTTGGGTACTATCAACTGCAACTTCATTCTCATCTTCTGAATCTAAGTTGTCCTCATTTTCTATTAATGTTTCATCCTCCTTGTTAACATGGTCTTCATTCTGATTAGAAATGTCTTCATCTGCCTCGGGAGAGTCTTCATCTTCCTCTTCTGAACTTTCGTCACTACTATCTATTGCAAGTGATTGTTTATGTTGAAGCTTTGAGCCAAAAGTAGACATCAATTCTTTCATTGGATCGACTTCCTCCTCACTTTCTGACGACTCTTCCTCGGGTTGGACTTCTTTTTCAACTTTCTGTCGTTTCTCGTAATCCTCATCACTAGTTTCAAATTTACGCTTCCTAATAGGCTTTTTAGTGTCTTGCCGATACAAACTATAAGTCTTTCTCGGTTTGGCTTTCTTTTTATCAAACTTTTTAGATTTTTTCGAACGGCCACCAACCACATCTCTGTACTTAACCTTACCTCTGGCCATACTTTTTAATTAAAAAATAAACAAATACACTACTTTCTGTGCACAAATTCTACTAAACCTATTTTTTTCTTTTCAGAGTAATGTTTTTAAAGGTTATAATAAAATCGAGGTTATGTGACAACGTGAAAGTTGACAACCAGTGTGTAAAACCTTAGAAATAATCAATATTTGGTTTTTGATCAGTGGCAACACTCAAAGTATTTAAAAATTGGTCGAATAAGTAATAAAAGTTATTAAATGTATTATTGTTGGATTTATTTAAAAGATTTTAAACATTGCTTACTTAAATATTTATTTTAATAAAACAAAAATAAAGTTCAAAATAAAAAAGAAAACTGCTTTTTAGTTTGCTGCTCCTGCTCCTCATCATAGATGTCGCCAAAAGCACAATTTTGAATTTATTCAAATTAGAAAAATGTCGAATTAGTGAATGCTCGAAAAATTTGAATTTTATCTTGGGTGTCCCCGAAGGTATTTAATATATATAATTATTTTTCCATGTTATACTAAACTAACTTCAATTATTGGTAAAATAGTCAATAATTAAAGACTTGTGACTTTAGTTGTTTATATTAAAACATAAAAATATAAAACAAGAAATGAGGTAATATGTATATATACCGATTTATTTTTTAACACTAACATATTACATGATATCACATGTTACTTGCACACAATCAAGTGTTGTACGTAATTATTATTGACGTCACGTCGATGTGGGACGAAGTACAAGTACTTTTACTTAAAACTATAGGCCTAAATTTTCAGGAGAATTGCGCAGAATTAATAAATACAATTTGTCGTTGTCTTAATAATAAATAAAAATTTGGTATTAAATAAGGCACAATTTGTCCAGAAAATTCAGGCGTCGAAACAACATGTTTCAAAAAATCTTTTTATTGCAATCTTATCAAAATATTTAAATTTCTGTGCACATATAATTTCTTTTAGAATAAAAAACACAGCTATTTTTCATAAAACTGTATAATATTGATTGCCTCACGGTTCAATTTTACTATTTTACAGAGGTGGAATAAAATTGCAATTTCAACAACTTAAGTTATCGTACCACAACAATTTCTTATTTCAATACTTTAAATATTTAACAATATTTAATTGTGCCCTTGTATTGTTATTTGTTACAAACTAATTTTTTCTTTTAATTCACTGATGTTAATACAACACCTTTTCAAATAAATAAATATCACCACAAAATTTGTACCATTCACCACTGTGCTCCATTAAATTATCGGTCGTCTTACTATTTATGTAATCTCAGTTTTATAGTCGAGCGTTTTTATTGAAAGAAAAATATATAACTCTAGCTGATTGTAAGGAACTGGATTTAAAAGAGCACAGCGTGAATACAGAGTAAAAAAAATACAAAAATTGAAAATGAAGTGTCATGGCAAGAAACTGAAAAGCTTCTTTAACATCAATGGACATTGATGGAAAAGAGGCCACAAAGAGAATTAACTAGCTATTAAATAACATGGTGTACACCTACAAACATCTCATTGTAGCCATCATCAAAGAAGTTTTGGGACGGTTTGAACAAGTATTTTAAGTTACCAACTTTATTTTTAAGATTTTTTTTTATATATAATAATACTGGCTCACAATTAATTCTTCTTGATAATGGCCAATGATGGACTAGATTCATCCTCCCAGCTGTTGAAATTTGTTACATTAAAATCTACATTTATAGAAACATCGACAGAAAAACAGGTTTTGTTGACATTAAACGTTAGGTAAAAAAACTTCTAACTTCTACGGTAACTTTAAAATTGAAGAAAGGAACATTGGTCATAGTTTTGAACTATTAGTCGTAAATTTCCTCGTTTTGCGCGAATCAGTCAAAAATGAATGAAATACTTAGGAAGGTTTGTTCGCTGTGGCTTCAGCCTGGGAGTTATTTGTTACGTGTAGAACCATATCGCCAATTTAATTAATAAATTCACACATCATTTAAAATATATGTATAACATAGAATTATTTACAAATATAGACCTAGTTAGAAATCTTCTCTTATTTACATTATACACAATATATTACAAAATTATTTACAGAGGAATGCCCTGACGGGTCAGTAACACGAAATAATATCAATAAACAAATAAAACTCATGTCTTGAGCTTAGTTAAGTTAATTGAGCGATGGAGATCAATCCGTTACGATAAGTCTAGTGGGAAGTCCAAGACTTCCGACTTGCTAAGTACCTCAGTCCAATCGCTAAATAGAATATAAAAATAAAAACAGTCAACAATAGCTGCACAATTCCTGCACTGCACTGATGTCTTTAACTAAGTGATCACAACCTGAGGAAAGCGGAAGCACCAACATTCTGCTACGTACCTCCGACCAGCACGTGCATGAAGCCGTCCCATTCGTTATCCGGTCGCGACGTCGACGGCTCCTTCCATTCGGGGGGATCACTCGACAGCCCCAGTTCCGCGTACAACTCGTTGTTGTTCAGCGATTCTAGATCCGTTTGAGAAGTTAAACTGAGGACGGAGCCCCAGTTGATGGGCCGCGTCATCTCATCGTCCCCGAGACCCGAGTCCGTGTCGGGGGCGGCGGACGGGAAGGGGGTAGCGCGCCCCGACGAGCACGTCATCTCTCGCAAACTCTGCTCGTAGCTGGGCTCAGGCACGGGGGAAGGTCTGCTCGGCGGCGACAACTCCGGCAGCGCGTAACTCGGCTCGGGGGGCTCCATCTAAAAGCAAAACATTATTATTACTAACACATCGCAAAATTTTTTGAAAAAAAATCTGTTGGTAACACTGAGTTGTTATAGGTATGAAGTGGTCTAGGTGACGGCTAGGTCAGTAACCGTCCCTTGCAAATGAATGACATTTGACTATTAAAGTGTGACGTTTGAATTTGATTGTCAAAGTTGCCAACTTAATAAAAATTATAATTTTTGGTGTTTACCTCCATCTCTCGCTCGAGCCTCCTCAACGTATTGCAGATGAGTACGGATCGTCTTAGAGAGGGGTCGGAGCATTGACGGTACCTCGCCAGCTTGCACATGGAGAGATTGAGCACCGCGAGCCTCCGCTGCCTATAACAGGGCACATGGCACCACCGCGTTCGACCATCACAGCACCGCGTCCGCATAGGCGGGGAAGCACCGAGTTCCAGGTACGATTTTCCATTCTCCTCGCAGCGAATCGTCTGCTGCTGCGGGGGTTGGTAGTACTGCCAGTACTCCGACTGGTACCGGTTGAAGGGTTGGCTGAATCTCGCCGGTTCGGGTATGCCGTCGTCCGATAGTTCGTCGTCGAACTCGTCATCGTCCTCATAATCATCGCTGCTTGAGAGCAGCGTCGCCGCCAGCGACGGCGTGGGGGACCTCCAAGTGTCGCTGGGTACAGCCACCGCTTGAAGTCGCGCTATGCAATCGTCCGCCTCCCATCGACCGGACTTTGGAGGGGAGGAGTCTCCTGGAGCTGTTGCCGCTTCTAACTTACGTTTCCCTGTAGTCGCCTGCAAACCCATCATGGCACAATTCTGCAACAAGAGAAACACTTTCGAAAACCTTCCAAACGGCTGAGAATTTAACAAAATCGCATAAATAAAAATTTCAATTTATTAACTAACTTCAAGTCATTCTTCAAACTAAGTTGAATTTTAATTGCTAGCACGAACCAAGTTTCTAATAGAAGAGTTTGGGCTGCCAAAGTTGGGATAACAAAACGAAAAAAGATAAAAACGTGTCCTCGGTTCCAACACTTTATATTCCAATAGGCTCAAACAACATTTACAAAATGCCTTTTTATTATTAACAAGAAAAAGCAAATACTTTTTATGAATTCTTTTATCACATTATTTACATGTGTAAAACGTTAACCATCTTTGTCGCGCGATAGCAATTATTTTTTCCTGGGAATTGTTGGGAAATTTGGAAGCACTAAAAAAATACAGAAATAATAATAAATGAAAATTCAGGTAAAATTATACTTATTAGAACATGCGCACATGTTTTAAAGCACGTAGGCGACATCGTTTGACACTTATTTAAATTGTTAATATTTGATTTTTTCTTAGAAAAATTTAAAAATCTGGGCTTACGATTAAAAAGCTCTTTTGCTCTTTATCCTTTTTCTCTTTCTTATGCTTTACTCTCTCTTATACACACTCTCTCTCTCTTAATTGCTCCTATGCGTTTTAATCGCTCTTTTTTCTCTTATTATACTTATTACTTATTAGAACATGTGCACATGTTTTGACATTTATTTAAGTTGTATTTGAATTTGAATTAGAGAAAAATTGCTGACTTTACCGGAGTTCGAACCCCAGACCTACCTGCCGGAAAGAGGGACTTTTTGCCACTACACCATCACACCGGCTTCTGTTCTAATCTAGTATATTAATACATACACAAAATTTATCAAAAATTTATTTCTCGCGTATCTACGTTTTTACACTTTTCTTGGTCTTTTGCAGCTATTTTAAAGTTTTATTTTTTTTCGATTCTTGGCCAAATTTTGATCGATTTGCGGCATTTTTAATTTTTTATCTTAAAAGTAAATATTGTCCTGTGCACTTAACAACAAATGACCAATTTCGCGTATTAATTTTAATATGAAAAGTTCATGTTTTTTCATGATTGTAGAAAAATATCTTTTTTGTTCCAAAACTAGTTTTGATATTTCTGTTTTTTACCAACAACTCAATATGGGCTTTTGAATGCGTATAAACACATTTTTTTCTGCTACTGAAAATTGACAAAACTCTTTCTATGCTGCTGTATATTTGGTTGCCTATATGAAATATCAACAGAAATGCGCTTCGGATAAGAATTATTATGTTAGTATTTACACACTTAATTTGACCGCATATTTTATCAAACACAATCACATTTTCCTTCGAGTTGCATCGCAAAAATATTTTTTTCTACCGTTTACAAATATTAATTATTTGTTTCATTTTCCCCATTTAAAGTTTAAATATTACAAAGGTATAATTTAATAAAATTTAAAAATAAGTAATTTGAAGAAAATGTTTCTTTCGTGAAAACAATTGCGAAACAGTTTTTTTAGGATTTTTCTAAAAGTGTTGGCGCTCTGTTGACTCATTAACTAGAGAAACTACGGAAAATAAGGCATTAAAAGTTAGAG